TCAAAACCCCCCTTTGTTATCCCCCCTTTTCGCCAGGTCCGAGAAACCTTGACCCTGAGAGCTGACGGGAAAAAGGTACGAAGGGTGAAACGACGCGGGCGACCAGGGTGAACGGAGAGACTTCTGGGAGCAACGGGGGTGGTTTTGGAGGGCCTTTTCGGGACATACCTGGGGCCCGCGTGCGGCCGAGGTTTGGATGAGGAGGAGGAGGAGGAGGAGGAGGAGGAGGAGGAGGAGGAAAACGACCACGACGACGACCACTACCAAGACGAAGAGGAAGAGGAGGAACAGTACAAGGAAGACGATGAGGGCAAGGACGAGGCCGAGGAGGAGGAGGAAGAGGAGGAGAAGAAGGACGAGAAGGAGGACATCGAGGACGACGGCAGAGCCTGCAAAATCGCCTCTTGGAGTGAGCCCTTGAGGGCATCTTGCGGCCATCTTGGAGGCCATCGATCACAAGTGGTGGAGTCCTCGATTTGTGTTCCCCCCTCCCCATAGGGCCAGCAAAAACCCTTTTGGGGGCCCTCTTGGGACGCTCTTGGGCCGCTCTTGGTGAAGGGCGTCTTGGACCCCTCTTGGGCCTCTCTTGGGCCATCTTGGGGCCATCTTGAGGCTTCAAAAGCGCATCAGACGCGAAAAGACGAGAAGGCATCAATCATTGATTTTCCTCAGGTGTTTGAAGGAGGTTGGCCTCTTGGGGGGATGCTAAGGGGGCTCCGAGAGCACTTGAAGCAGTCTTGTGGCCCTCGTCGGGTCTTTGGAGGTATGTCGGAATTAACATTGAACCATCTTCGTTTATCTTGAGCCGCCTTGGAGGCCATTTTCGAGCATCGGATGCCCTCTTCCAGCCATCTTGGGCCACCTTGGACGCTCTGACACCTCGTGTCCCGCCACCAAAAACCTCAAGGGAAGGGGAGGGAGAGGGTAATTACCACTCTCCGAAGGGAAACGGGTCTTTGGACGAGGGACGAAAGAACTTGTTAGACCACCGCAGCCCAAAGGGCTGGGGGGATTCCAAGTTCCCCACGGTAGCACGACGACCGGAAGTCACAAGGGAGAGGTCCGCTCAAGATCGATGGACCACATTTTGAACAGTCGCCCTCTGCGTCGGGCATTCTTCCAGGAGCGCCCCGGCAGTGTGACCACGAACGCGCACGTACAACGCCCGTCCGCTTGCAATCAGGCTGGCGTGCACAGGAGCGTCAGTGCACACGCGCTCGCGCGCGCCTGTGAATGCTCCCGCGCTCGTCGGCTTGCCCTGCACAGCTGTTGCCAACGTGTCTCGGCTCTCCGCTCAGGCTGTGCTCATAAGCCAGCCCTTGGCGTGCAGAATGCACCATGCATGTCTCGGACAGGAATCGGCAGGGGTGCCGTGCCCACTGGGGCCATAGTTCGAGTTCCTCAGGGGGCACGGACTATGTGAGGCGGGGTCGAAATTGGAACGGAGCCACTTAGCCTCCGGCACGGGGGCTGGGGGGGGGGGATGCGTGATGGGTTGGCCGATAAATTTACAGACGTGGCATGCGGACTGTCAATGCACGCTGAGCGCAGTCACTGCAGCTTGTGACGCGCAGAACGTGCCAAATGTTGCGCCCGTATCCTGTCCCACGCGACACGTCATGCGAAGACGTTCTTCCCCTTGCTCCATCGCCGCGGAGGAGGGAAAGCGTGCGCGTCTGTGTGTGTATGTGTGTGTGTGTGTGTCGGGGGCAGCTGCCGCCGCGATAGGCCTTGGGTCTCGGCGCCCTCCCTTGCTCACGGGCTTCTGCCCTGAGGTTTATCCTCGCGCGTTGCACTCCTTGCGTAATTACGCCCTCGGGCGCGGCACTGCACTCTGCTCAGCGTTTGCTCAGCCACATCTACGGTGTTGACACCACGCTCGCCGACTGGGCAGGTCCCTCGGTCTACGTGCACCCTCCCTGGCGGCTATGTTGTCGCCGTCGCCGCCCCGTTGCCGCCTCGTCGCTGCCTATATAGATTGCACACCACATACACTGGACAACAGATGTTGCACACCACACACATCCCCTGTTCTAATATAGTATTGGGGTCTACCTCCCCCCCAGACTTAACGGTACACCTTTTCGTATTTTTCTGTCGTTTATGATTCTGCGCATTCGTCCATCCTACATGTGAAGTCATTCCATCCTAGGCAGTCCCTTACCGACCCCCCTCATCTTCGGGAAAAATATTCGCGCGCATTCGTTTATCAAGTATCACCAGTGTACAAGAATTCGGTGCAGAACCAGCTGAAGTGCATACGCGCGCGTCGTCGCGCGCACGTCGGATTCCTTCAAACACTTTCGGTGTCGTAAGGATTTCAAAATCGGGTGTCCCGAACACATGTTTTAGTTATATGTCTACATATATATAGATGTATGTATATAAACGGTGGCTTCGCAGCAGGATTTTTCAAGTAGGCATGCGTTCGCGCTTCTGCGTGTTCCTGAGGAAACCATGCGGTTTAAACATGTTCACCACATGCTATCAAGCGTGTCTATCGCGCGCATGTCGACATCGTTCGAACGCCTCTGTGCGCGTGCTGTCGCCAGAATCCCTCGCGCAAAATGGGATGAAGTGCGCACGCGCGCGCTGTCGCGCTCGCATGCCGAAATCCTTCACAAACCTTAGGTCCCGCAGGGATTTCACTTCTCACGGTTTCGCAGCATCAGATTTCTTAAAAAATCATGCGTTCGCGTTCTTGCAAGTCTTTTAAGAAGCACATAGGTTGTTCAACCTTCTTCGGCAAATTCGAGCAAGCGGACTTCTCGCGCCGAATGTCGAAATCATTCGGAGCCCTTGCGCGCGTGCTGGGCGGGCACGATCCGCGTCGAATCATACCATTTGGGCCACTTGCGCGCGTCGGTCGCGCGCGCATGCCGAACTCATTCCAAAGCTCTGATCACCGACCCGGCTTTATCGGTACACCTTTTTGTGTTGCAATTTACAGATGGTTCTGCCCCATCGTCCGCCGAAACATGAACTCGTATCATCGCAGCCCAGCCGGTATCGACCCCCTCCCGCCATCTTTAGCAACATATACTATGCGCGCGCTCGTATAGAAATGTGCAGCGCATGGGACGAAATGCACGCGCGCGTCATCGCGCGCGCATGCCAAAATCCTTCAAACACCGTCGTCTGCGTTGCGAGTTCAAAATTGGATTTCAAAAAAAACATTCAACCACACATGGTTTCGCAACATCAGTAAAAAAAGCTTGCGCGCGCGCTCTTGCGAATCCTTGAGAAAGTCATACGTTTTCAACAGTTGCATGGCATTCTGCCACACGAGCCTCTGTCGCCGCATGCCGACATCATTCGCACGCCCTTGCGAGCGTGCTGGGGGGGCACGATCGGTGCGGGCCACTCGCGCGTCGGCCGCGCGCGCATGGCGAACTCTTTTTCCAAAACCTTCATCACCGACGCGAGGACGCCATTATCGTCGTCGGCGTGATCAGCATCGGCGCCCGCAGTGGCCGCGCCTTCGTCGGTGCGAGCATCGTCACCAGCATCGCCACTATCCTTTCCGTGTCTACCGTAGTCGGCGTTGCCATGATGCCGCGCCCGCCCAAGTCGCCGACTCGCAGTGAAGTGCCCGCTGGGATGCCCCCAGTAGTCAGCGCCACCGCGGCACCGTCGTTCGCACCAAACTAGCTGGCCGCTGCGCGCGCGTGCTAGGGCTGGCGCGGCCGCAGAGATGCACTAGCCAACGCCAAGGATGCATCGCAATCGCTTCCGCACGTGTTTTGCAAACGAACTTGCGGGTGGGTGGGTGACCTGTTTGCAGGAGCCTGGGGTGTGCCAGCCTGTTTTGTTAAATCAATCGCACCACGTAGACTGCACCACGCAATTTGTACCGCACAGTTTTGTTTTTTGATCTGCGGGGCGAGAGCGAACCTCTTCCGCTAAAAGCTAGGCGGGCTACGCACAGCTTTAATCAGGGAGACAGGGCATAGGAAGGCGGGGCCTCAGGCCGCCGGAGCGGGCGGGGCCTGGAGTGCAGGCGGTCCCGAAGTGGATGTGCAGGAAAAAGTACGCCGCGGACAGGGACCGAGGGCGAAGACCCGGAAGGCGAAGGAAATGGTGTTACCCAATTTGTACCGCACACACATATGTATATATATATATATATATATGTATATATAAGACTTCCCAGCATATATTGTTTATTGCACCACACATGCTGCACCACGTAGGTTGTTCTTCATGGATAGCACAACATCGAGTGCACCACGTAGTTTGCACACCATTGGTATGTGCAGCATGTCTGGCAGTACGTATATCTTACAACATAGGCTTCACGCGCATCATGAAGTGCTCCACGTACATCGCACCACATTCATTGCCAAAACGCGTTTTTTTGGCCACGCTGGCTAGTATTTCTCCCGTTCGTTATTGGCACAGCACCAGGGGCCTAGTCTGACATTCCAGCCGGTTTCCGCCATAACGAGAAACATTGAGTCGGCGTTTGGGGCAAGCGCGTCTGTTTTCTCCTCACCGGGGGCCTCCCACACGGGGCCCACGACCCAGAGTGTCCGCCGCACTTTCCATTCTGAACGCCGTCGGCGTTAAACTTTTGTGTGCGCGTGCGTGCGCGTGTGTCCACGCACGCGCAATTATTAGTTCTGCGAGCACGTGCGTACGCTTTGTTTGCCTGCGTGTTGGTCATGTGCCCTTTCATAAGAGCCGTTCCGGCTCGAGGTGTCGGGTCAGCTTGGCAAACTCGTTCACGTCCAGCCATATGATGGAGGGGGTGTGTGAATCGCAAAGGTGGGCGATTGTCGCTGACACCGATGATGCTTGCACCCATCGCAAGGGCAACGCCTTTCCGTTGTACAGGATTTGCGTCTGTACGCTGAGCGTTGGTGGCGCTTGCATTGCAGCAAGTCTGGTGATGGGCCAGAGGCGTTCGAGCGCAGCGGATATTCAGCCCACTGTTTCTCTGGATGGCCAAGGCGAAGCGGGCTCGTCGGAGCCTGCCATGCCTTGCCCGTGGCCCGGAGAAGACTGCAGCAGCGCAAGGTGTTGTGCCGTGGAGGGCCAGCAGTGCTTCAGCAAAAACGAGGCGTACGCAGGTTGCAATAGGGGAGCGAATAATGACATAAACATAACAATCCGGAGGCCCGTGCAGATTTCTCGGATCGTCGCTGGACCCCCATCCCTGGCGCGCGGAGCGCGCCAGCGGCGGCGCCGGAGGCGCCGCCAGGGGGCTCCAGCGCGGATCTGAGGAAGTCCGCGCGGACCTCCGACTCTTTATGTTCATGTCATTGCTTGTTTCCCTAAGGCTGTAAGCCCAGCTGCGACGCAGGCCAAGCTGACCCCACAGACCCCTCCGGGGAAGTCTGGACCTGTGATGTCCTCACCGCAGGTGATGAAACTGGGAGTGGCCCAGTGGCCCCAGCTTCCCCAGGCGAGGGGGCGGGAACGTCGCTGTTCTGCTTCACAGTGGTGATGCCGACAGAGGTTCGGCGGCGAGCGAGAGGGGGAAATGAGAAGGAGAAGGCCTTCTCAGAAGGCGGCGGGACTTCTCAGAAGCCCTCGCGCCTTCTGAGAAGTTTTTGTGTTCTGTGTCTTCGGAGAAGGCTTAGAAAACTTCTCAGAAGGCCGGGGGACTTCCGAGCCTTCTGAGAAGGCCATCTCCTTCTCATTTCCCCCCCTCGCTCGCCGCCAAGAGGTTGAGCTTGTCAATGCTCAGCGGGAGCGGGAAGCTGGGATTTTCGCTTGCGATGACGCCGCAACTTTCGACGGCATTCCTTCACCAGTGGCACCCTGGGGTGGAGCGTATAATGCCGAAGCGTTCATGAAAATCTGGGATCTTGTCCGCGAGGACGGCAGGTTTTCGCAAAGAGATTGGACTGTGAAGGTCGACCCAGACACTGTGTTCTTGGCCGACCGCTTGCGCGGACGTTTGTCAGAACTCAATGCGCCTGCTTCCTTGCCCGGCATCTACATTCAGAATTGCGAGGCTGCAGGAGAAAAGTTTGGATTCCAGGGTGCGTTCGAAGTCTTGTCACTGGCAGCAATTCAGCAGTACCTCGCATTTCAAGAGGACTGTGCGACATACAATCCTCCCGCAGAAAACGGCGAGGACGGATGGATGCACGCATGTCTTGTAGCCATTGGTGTGGGATACATGCAGGACTTCAATATTATGAATGACAAGTGGACATGGCCTGACGATTTGAAGGTAGGGGAATGGTTGGCAGACGTTTCGTTTTGCCAGGATAATGAAAAGGCTGCCTTCCATCCCCTCAAGGAGCCAGGCTTGTGGCTGCAGTGCTATGATCAAGCTTCGACGGCATCAGAGGCCTTCCAAAATCCTTTTTGACCCTGGTTGCTCGTCCATGGTTTGCGCGTGCACCGCAGGGGACGAGGACGGGAGAAAGGCTTCGAAAGAGCACGTTCGTGGCACACTTCTCATTAAAAAGGGGGGTCCCAGCTTCCGGCTACCCACCCCACCTCCCTTGGAAAATGGGGGGGGTTTCCGAAGCTACCCCCTCTTTCCCCCTTCGTTCGCATTTTTTAGCTGGGGGGGCTCTAGTTAAAGGGGGGGTGGAAGCTAGCCCCCACCTCCCCCCCTTTTTGGGGTCCGGGGTCACTTCGGGCTTCCCTTTCAAAAAGAGGGGGGGCTGCCGAAGCTACCCCTCTTTCTTTCATGTTGTTCGGATTTTGTAGCTGGGGGGTCCCGGGGGGGTACGTGGAAGCTACCCCCCCCTTCGGGACCCAAGGTCAGCCCAGGCTCCCCTTTCAAAAGGGGGGGGGTCCGAAGCTACCCCCCCCTCCCCTCCTTCTGTTCGCGTTTCCAGCTGGAGGGCCCTGGCTGAAGGGGGGGTCTTCGAAGCTACTTTTGTTGTTTGATTTTTCCCGCCCCGTTGGTTTCCGGCGCACTTCTGGTTGTCGGCGTCTCTTTGGTGTTCGGTGCTCCCTTGGTCTTCGGCGCTCCTCTGGTTTTCGGCGCTCCTGCGGTTTTCGGCGCTCCTTTGGTTTTCGACGCCCCTTTTGGTTTTCTGCGCGCCCTTTCGATTTCGGTTCATCATTGGTTTTCGGCGCGCACCTTTGGTTTTCGACGCCCGTTTGGTTATCGGCGCGTCTTTGGGTTTTCAGCGCCCTTTTGGCCTTCGGCGAATCGTTGGTTTTCGGCGCCCCTTTGGTTTTCGGCGCCTCTTGGGTTTCGGCGCCCCTTTGGTTTTTGGCGCTCCTGCGGTTTTCGGCGCCCCTTTGGTTTTCGGCGCCCTTTTGGTTTTCGGCGCCCTGTCCGTCTTCGGAGTTTCTGTTGTTTTCGGCGCCCCTTTCTTTTTCGGCGCCCTTTTGGTTATCGGCGCCCCTTGGATTTTTCTGCACTTTTCTGGTTTTCGGCGCATCGTTGGTTTTCGGCGCTCCTTTTGGTTTTCGTCGCCCCTTGTGTGTTCGACGCCTCCTTGGTTTTCGGCGCCTCTTTTTTCACTCCCATTTAGTTTTTGGTGTCCTTTTGCATTTCGGCGCACTTTCGGTTTCCGGCGCATATTTGGTATTCCGCGCTCCTTTTTATGTTCAGCGTTGTTTGGATTTTCGCATTCCTTTTGTTTTTGTTGCGCCCCCTTGGTTTTCGGTCCCCTTTTGGTTTTCGGCGCCCTTTCGAGTTTCGGCGCTCCTATGGTTCTCGGCGCCCTGGTGGTGTTCGGCGCTCGATGCCCTTTGATTTCTCGGCGCCCCTCGCGCTGGGCTCGGACGGTCTCAAGGACAGCCCTTCGGCGCAGCCAACGTGTACGTCCTTCAGCCGTACAGTCGGGGCCCTGAAGAAGGAACCCTTTTCGTTTGGGAGGGGCTCGGTGTACCTTGATTGTTGTGCAATTTGCTTTAGGTTCCCCTGAGGTTTTCCATAGGAAATCGAAGGTTAACTTTTGGGAAAAAGGGGCCTCGATCCTTGACTCGTAGGCTTCAGGACGGGAGCAATGGCCTCAGCCGTCACGGTTCGAGCGCGCTCGGGCCGTGGCCTCCTCGCGCGCGGGCGCTGCGTGCAGCGCGCGCGCCCCCCCTTCCGCCATCGCGACGGCGGCTGGCGGTGGCGCTCCTGGCTGGTGGGGGCGGCTGATCGGCCGCTGCCCCCAGCGCCGCGCTGCGGGCGCGGCGGAGTCGGCGGCGCCGGGGCCCGGCGTCGTCGTGCAGCAGCACGTGGAGGTCCACGTGCACGTCGGCAGCGGCGTGGACGCCGCGCAGGCCGGGCGAGCAGCCGCGGAGGCTGCCGTCGCGGCCGCCGCCGACGCCTCGCGCGCGGCCTTCGCGACGCCTGGCGCGGCCTGCGCCCCCCCGGCCGGGGACACCCCTTGCGGGGCCGGCGCTGCGCCGGCCAAGGAGGCGCCCGCGGCGGGCGCGGCGGCCCCGGCGGCGAAGCGTGCCGCCCGGCCGACTCCTCCTCGGGCCGCGCGGACCGAGCGCTGGGCCTACGCGGTGTGGCAGCACCCTCTGCGGCCGGAGCTGCGCGGGGTGCACTGCGGAGGCGGCGAGGTTTGGCGGGCGCTGGCGTCGACGCTGCCTGGAGGCCGATACTCGTTCGCCTCGGGCGTGCGGCTGCGTCGCTTCGCCGACGAGGCCGAGGCGGTCGCCGGCTACGAGCGCGAGGCGGCCCGGCACGGAGCCCCGTCGCCGGCGCCGCTGTTCGACGCGCTCGAGCCCCGCCGCTCGGCCTGATGACGGCGGTGCTGGGCGGCGCGGAGCCCGCCAGCGCCGAGGAGTACGAGTGGGAGCTGCGCGTGGCCGAGCTGACGGACGACTACATGCCGCTGCAGGTGGACGTCACCACGGTGCATCCGGGGCTGGATACGGGCGGCGTGGGCATCTCCGTGCCGATCGTGCCCATCCGCAAGAGGGGAGGCGTGTTGACTATCGCCATCCCGGCCGCGGTGTGCCCCTGGCTCAGCCCGCACTTTGCGGCCCTGGGCGATCCCATCCACTTCCTGCCCGCGAACGACGGCCAGATGGCGACGGTGGCCCTGGTGAGGATCAGCTCAGAGGGCGGGGCCTGGATGGAGCCAGCCTCCGACGGCAGCCAGTGGGCGGGGGACGGGCGCTGGCCGGCAGCTCGCGCGGTGGTGCAGCTGGCCGAGGCCTTGCCCGCGGCCGTGGAGGACCACGAGATCAGTCCAGACAGGGACTACTCCAGCGCGCTCGCCCCGGCGCCCCACGCCCTGAGCCCGGAGGCGCTCGACACGGTGCTGGGCGGCGCGCTGGGGCTCGGCCCGTGGCGAGGGCTGCTGCGCCTGCGCTGGCCCCCTCCCGAGCCCGAGCCGGGCGACGAGGATCAGCTGGTCGGGCCCGACGGGCAGGCACTGCCGCGCGTCGCGACCCCGCCTCCGGGCGGCTCCGCCGCGGGCGCCGCGGAAGGCCCCTGGGAGCCCTGGCACCCGCCACCTCCTTCGCCGCCGCGGGCGGCCGCCGTCGGAGCTGGCGACGCCGCGGGCCCGCAGGCCGCCCGCCTGCAGCACGCCGCCGTCGCCGCCGCACGCAGGCAGGCCCCGGCGCCCGGGCGCCCGGCCGCTGGTGGCGGCCGCGGGCGAGGCGGGCGCGGCAACGCCGGGGGCGCGTTCGAGCTGGGCGACTCGGCCGACGAGGAGTCGGGCGGCCTCCCCGAGGGCCGTCGTGGCCCCGCCCGCTCGCGAGCGGCAGCGGGCCAGGGTCGCACCACCGTCGCCTCGCTGGCCGCGACCTTGGAGCGGCTGGCGGAGTCCAACCAGGAGGTGCTGCGGCGCGTTGCGGCGCTGGAGAGCGCGGGCAGTGGCGAGCCCCCCCTGCCGCCGCCTTTCGAGGCGCCGCCGCCCAGTGCCGCCGCGCCCGCTGGCCCGACGCATCCGCAGGTGCTGGGGCCGTCGCGAGGTGCCGCCGCCGATCGCGCCGCCGTGGACTGGGCCCTGCACACGGCGGGGGCTCCACCGCTGGCGCGCTTCGGGCAGCCGATCGGCGTGGCTGGCGCCCCGCCAGCTGGGGTCCCGGCGAGCGGCGGAGGTTCCGCCGCCCTTGCGAGGGCCGCGGGCCCGGCAGCTGCGCCGGCGGCAGGAACGGGCTTCCCCCTCAACGCGGCGCAGGTGGTGCAGGCCAGGGCCAACTTCGCCCGCCACCACGGCGTCCCGTTTGCCGACGTCTCGGAGGGCGAGGTGCGCAGGTCGCCGGAGGGCATCGTGGCGTGGTGCCAGGCCGGCGTTGCAGCACCCGCTGGCGCGCCGGCAGGAGCAGCCGCCGCCGCGGCGCCGCCGCCCGCGGGCGCGTCGCCGGCCGAGCTGGCGGCGCACTGGGCTGCCGTGGCAGAGCTGCAGCGGATGCCTGCTGGCGCCGCGCCCGCCGCGCTGGCCGGGCTTCTGCAGCCGGGCCTCGACGATGGGTCCGCCGCTGCTGGCAAGATGCCCGGGGCCCGCGGCGCCGCCAGCATGGAGATGCTGCGGCGCGACCTGCAGGCGCGGCCGACGGCCTGGACGTCAATCATCAGGGGGAACGCGGAGCTGGCGCTGGCGGGGACCTCGGACGACCCCGACCCGAGGGTGCGCAGCATGGTGGAGTTCGTGGTGCGCACCGGGACGATCAATCGGGGCAACAGGACGGCCGCCTACCTCGGGTTCGGCATCGCGCGAGTGGCCGACCTCATGGCACGGGGCCAACACGAGATGGCGGAGGCGCTCATCCTGCTGCTGTTGACGGCGCTGGAGCAGGCCCAGCGGGACAACGGGCGCTGGCAGCTCGCGTGGCTCCTCACGCATCTGCCGGAGCCCCCGTGGGCGCAGATGACGGCCGGCACGGGCGGGAGCGTCGACAGCCTGCGGCCGTTCGGGTACCTGGCGGACGCTACGTGGTCGACGGCGGCGATGGCCTACACGAAGGACGCCGCGTCCCTGGCGGAGATCAGGAAGAAGTTCAACGACGACCGCGGGGGCGGCAAGAGGGACGACGAGGAGACCAAGCCGCCGAAGGGCGCGCCCAAGGGCGGGCGCGGAGGCGGCGCCAAGGAGGGGGCGTAGCCGGCGAGGCCGGCTTGCTGGCGGACCTCGAGGCCGGGGTCCCGCGGGCGCAGATCGGCATGGTGCGCCGCCTCCTCAGGTCCAGGACCAGGCTGGGCTACTTTTTGTATTCGTGCATGCAGTTCTCCGGTGCCCCGTCGGTTTCCCCGACGCGTACCTGCTTGAAGTGGTTCCCGATGGCGCCGCCCTACCCGTGGACCATCGGCACCCCTCCGTACACCAGCCCGCGCTGCAGGGAGCGTTGGAAGAAGTTGCAAGTGGCCAAGCTGCAGGTCAACCTGATGGTGGTCGCGTGCTCTTTCCTGGCGCTTGGCTCGCAGCGCTGGTGCCCGGCATCGTGCAGGAC